TTTATTAAACGGCATGAAACATCATTTGTGATAGTTTCATGCGTCAACACAAGTAGTAGTGGTATAATTAACACTTAAGTATGATATCACGTGTCTTTTAGAAGTTAATTTATTGACCCTGAAAGGCTACTTACCGATAAAAACAACTTCAGAAATCATCTCAATCTTGTTATTGTCTTCTGCTCCAAAAACCGGAAGTATGATTTCGCTGGAATTATCTCCCCTCATAAAATTTTCACACAGTTTAATTTTTACAAAATACATATCTGAACGGCAAGAAAGGACTTATATATCATTGAATATATATAAAATTAATATTGAATTATTGGAAAATGATAGTCGATTTACCGTATATAATTTAAAATTTATTTTTTCTATAAATTTTGCACTTCACGTTGCTTTTAATCAATGAAAAGGTGTGTCTTATGATTGTTAACGCTCATATACGCCTTATTTGAACATTCCTTCTATGTAATTTGAATACGTTCGGAACATTTGTAAAGAGGACTTTTCATATACCCCAGTCTAAATTACCATGTCAATCAAGGTCGCCATTCGTGATTTATTTATTGAACGACTTGGGACGCCACCTAGAGGAAGTGCCAGTTGCTATCCATAGTCTGCATAAGATGAATATTTCGCCAAATTAGTTATTCGGACTATAAGTAAAGAATGATAATCCTACACAAAATTTACACATATAACAATATAAGGATATTAAAAGCTAAAAGCATTTTTTTTTACATTCGTTGAGTTTCAACATGAATTATGTTTATGGTAGAATACAGAGGTTAATGAAGAAAACAAAACAGTGGACGCCTTGTGACTGCAGCCTCACCCCTGGCAATTTCACAATCTATATCTCATAACAAGATTTTCCATTTTATGCTGCGACCGATTCAACACATCCCTGCCAATTCCGTTTTCTTAAAAGATTTCAGTTCAATATTGTCCCGAAAGTCATCCATTGTGACAAATTATTGATCAAAATCATTTGGATGTTTTAAAAAGTTCCAAAAAACTATTTTGGTTTTTGAAAGTGAAAGTTTTAGTCCATTTTCAGTATAGGTTACAAGAACGTAATTATTTGTAATGTATTTTCTAAAGGACCCCAGTGGTATTTAGAAAATTATTTCTTTAAGAATAAACAAACTAGATAAAAATGGGTAGCAGTTTCGTGACTATATATGTCAGCCTTTTATTACAGCAAAAAAAATGTAAATGGTCATGCGGCAAAAAGTGCCCTAAAATGCAGTTGTTATGGAAGCTTCAAAATTCCGCACTAAATTTGAAAGGTTAATTTTGAATGGCTTCTCGGTTAATTAAAAAATATATCTTCTAATAATTGTGAATAATGAATTTATTTTTCACCTATTTTCAAACCTAAATGGATTAGCTTTCAAAGATAGGATGGTGCAGGTTAATTCCAACCTGCACCATTCTATCAGGAGCCTCCAAGTTTGTTTTTTTATTCTCAGTACCATCTTGGGTTGAAAATATTGCCGTTTGAATGTAAACAAATAATTTCGCTCTTGTACCGTATGTACGAGGAACTATTCCTCCACTTAAATTTAAGATACAGACTAAAACAAATATTGATGACTTAATTTACAATATGAATAGAACAATAGCACACAACATCAGCTCCTCTATGTCTTAACTGATAGACGATTAATGCGTTGGTCTTAGATTGTAATGATGTCTTTGGTTTTGTTGTCTCCTTATTTGGTAATGTCTCCTTGGTTGTTGTTATTGAACCTGTTGGATTGGCTGTTGTTGGTTGGCAGGTTGTTGTGGTTGGACTGGTTGCTGATGATGTACTGCTTTCTTTTGAATAAATGGTGGTTGAATTTGCACTTGGACTAGTCCAATGACAAGTTTTAGAAAAAAAGGCTTAAAAAACACATAAAAAACAAATAAAATCATATTTCTACTGATGACATAGACTCGTCAAACTCTTCACTGGTGATTATCAAAAACTTGCATTGGGGTTTCCTGAGGAGTCACCTCCTGTTCCTCCTTACAAATAGCAAGGGGACAAGTTAAAAGATATCTTCTTCCTTTTGTACTTTTCAAACAGCAGATTAGATTATAATCGTGTATATTATAAAAGTAATTAAAAGACTGAAATGATTCTTCTTTAAATCACCCTCTGAATGATATTGTTTTCATCATCAAGAGTGTATTGATGCTGCAGTTGTCCCCATGTACCGACTATTCATCAAGCCCAACAACTTAAACTTCATCACAGATGGTTATTATTAACTTATAAGAATGAACTTTATTGAAATAAAATATACAAGACCGATGCACAAGACAAAGCAGATTACATTTTAATGGCTGTCTTTCATCTCAGCCATTTATAAGCCTCAAATATTTGATTTGAATGTTCTCAAAATAAACAACCCAGTAGGCATCTGACGTTGTACCGATGTGGATATTTGGTTGAAAATAGGTCGCGACGTCGGCGACCTAAATTCAACGTCGGCTCAACGTCGAATTGCAAACGTCTACCGGACGTTGGAAAATGACGTCAATGCAACCTTGCTTTTTGGTCGCAACCATATCCAACGTCAACACAACGTCGGATAGGTCATATGTCCGTCGTCTTAATATTCTAAAAAAAAAATTTCACATGTGCAAATTATGCACGTATTATTTCAAATTGCTATAGATGTACCTATCAAAACATAATTGACCTAAGAAGAAATAGATATATCCCTGTACATAAAACAATATATATTCCATCGAATATATATGCCATATTCTAGTGTTTATTTTTATGTCTCAATTTCATATTGATCATAATCACCCTCCCCCTTCCAACTGCCAACACGGAATCATCAATCGGAACTACTCGGCCTTTCTGGTTGCACGCGAGAATAATGGCCGAGTAGTTACGATTGACGCAATCACTCAATATACTCTTTAAATTATTTTTGTAGATAATTTTTCATGTGCGTAGTATATTCAATCTAATCGTAAAAGTGTGAAATTAATTAAAAAGGAAAATTTACTATGATATATTGATGTACGGATAATTATTATAAGAGATATTTTTTATGCGTGTTGTTTAGAGATTATTTAATAGTCATGTTCCCGGTAATTTTCTTCCTTTAGCACAATGCAAATTGTTACAATAGGAACCAACATTAGATTTAAACAGGCGCGTACTCGTGAAAAACAACAAAAAATAACGAAGACAAAGATGTATCAACAAATAGAAGTAAATAAAAGGTTAGTGTTGTAATCGTTAAGTTTAATCTTTACATTTTAGTTGACAGTTTCCTGAAAATCTCTGTTAAATGCCCACGCCGACCTCGTAATTATAGAATTATATTTTTTGGGGGGAATAGAAATTAGAATAGTATTAAAGGCTTTTTGGGGTTATAAATTTGAATCCATATGACATTATATTAGAATTATTAAGATTTGTTAACCTAAAACAATCCATCACATCTGTCACCATACACGTATGCTTACATTATTATGAAACCCAATTTAGCAACAAAAAAAGGGGGGTGAATTTGATGAGAAAAAAAAGCATTTTAGTTTTACAGAGCCCTTGTAGTTGATGGTTAATATGAGGCAGGTGTAACCTTAGTCCAAATAATTATGACGTCTTGTAAGGGTGTCTAATTATAAGCCTGGTCTGATATACATCTGGTGAAGTAAAATTTGGAAAAGCAATAAATGTCATTGCATGAAACTGAAAGTTATTTTTAATAAACCATCGATTGCTATATTTAATCAGTCCACTTTCACACCTTACACTAGTCAAAATTATAATAACGTCTTGCACTTGTAAGGCTATTTTGCATAATTAATATTATTTGGACGCTGTACATGTATATTACGATAGTAGAGGGGCATTATGTTTTCTGGTCTGTGGGTCCGTCCGTCTGTAATTTTTATTTAGGTATCTATTTAAATTGCTGAAAGACCTCTCTCTTCAATTATAGAAATCATTTTACATCAATCAATTATCTTGGGGTGTAAATTAGATACACCTACTCGGGCTAACACTCTTGTGGTGTATCTAATACATATTAACTTGTTAACTTTTTTTTAATGAGGACTTGACTGACTTGTTCTTATATAATTTGCAGATTGTTACTAAGGTCCCCTGCTTGAGTCACTAAAAAAAATGTATGTTAATTATGAACCAAATAGGATAAAAAGAGAAGTCTCTATATAATGATCATACAATTATTGTTGCATGTGCATGTTTTATTTTTTTCAGGATTTGTTGACCATGTCAAACTTCAACTTGAAACGTTGGCGTAAGGTCCGTGCTGAAGCTAGAGCATGGGCTCTTGGTACAAGTAGTGAAGATGAAGAAAATGCATCAGTAATTTCAAGTCAAGAAAAAAATTCATCAGGAAATGAGAGAGGAGAACATGCATGTAATAGTGAGGAAGCAAATGAGCCTTGTACTGATGAGAATACGACTGAAACTGATTCAAGTGATGAATCAGACTTCGGATTTGTGGAGGAAATCGACACGTCGGATTCGGAGCAAGATATTGGCCATGTTTCTGATACCGAAGAGCCAAGTTTGTCATTGAAGGAAAAAATAGTAGATTGGTCAACAAAAAATAATTTGACAAGATCTTGTTTAGATGAACTGCTAGTTGTCTTGAAAAGTGAAGGTCTTCAAGTCCCAAAAGATGCTCGCACATTACTACAGACCCCTAAAACTGTTGATTCTGAAGAAAAATGTGGCGGACAGTATATTTATTATGGAATAAAAAATGGAATGATTAAGATTCTTGAAGGCTTGTCTCCATGTACTTTAAATAATCTGCAAAACATCCATTTGAATATAAATATTGATGGTGTGCCCTTATTTAAATCATCAGGAAAGCAATTCTGGCCGATTTTATGTAGCTTTGAAAATTTTAGCCGTTTATTGTTAGCCTGTACTTAGGCAATTCAAAACCCAGTTCATTAAATAAGTTTCTTGATGATTTTCTATCTGAACTTGATAAAATAACTAATCAAGGAGTAAGTTTTGAAGACAAAACATTTCAAGTAGAAATGAGAGCATTTATATGTGATGCACCAGCAAGGGCATTTTTGAAACAAATTAAAGGCCACACTGGGTATTTTTCATGCGAAAGGTGTGTGATTAAAGGATTTTGGAAGAATAATCGTGTAACAATGTACTCTTGCGAATTACATGAAAAAAGAACTGACGAATTATTTTCAGCGCAAACTTATGTTAACCATCAGATGGGTATAACACCACTTGTTCAGCATGGCATTCCATGCATATCATCATTTGTCTGAGATTATATGCATTGTGTTCGCCTTGGGGTTGTCAAAAGAATCCTCTGGTTTTTTAAGCAAGGTCCAACTGTGTGCAAACTTTCACATATTCAACTTGATGAACTTTCAAAAAAACTAGTTCCTTACTCCGGTAATTTGCCTTCAGAATTCGCTAGACAACCACGGTCATTAGCAGAGCTTGAACGATGGAAAGCAACAGAGTATAGGCAATTTTTATTATACACAGGACCTATTGTGTTGCGAAAAGTTTTGTCTAAGGAACGATATATCCACTTTTTAACTTTGTTTATTGGAATTTCGATTTTATTGGAATCCGATTCTCATAAGAGAACTTCTTACATTAACTATGAATCAAGTTTGTTGTCCTTTTTTGTGAATAAATCAAAAGTACTTTTTGGTGAACAGTTCATTGTGTACAATGTACATAACTTACTCCATCTCGCAGATGATGTAAAACATTTTGATTGTTCAATGAATGAAAATTCTGCTTTCCCATATGAAAACCATTTGCAATCCATCAAGAGGGTGGTAAGGAACGCAAAAAACCCTATTGCACAGGTTACAAAAAGGCTAGCTGAAAAAGAACGGGCAGGTGTTTCCATGGTAAAGAGTAATACTGAAACCTTCATATACAGGTACATTTCTACTAGACCTAAAAACAACTGTTTCCTGTTAAAAAATGAATCATTTGCATTTATTAAGGAACAAAGGGAAAACAATAGGCTTTTATGTGACATTTTGCATCCAGACAGAGCACAGAATTTGTTTACAGAGCCATGCAATTCCAAACTTGTTAATATTGTATTTGTGCCAAACAATTGTCATATGTCAAGGAAGCTGATCGACAAGGATGAAATTTACAAAAAGTGTGTTTCACTCCCTGTTGATAATGGAAGGGTTGTCATTCCAATGTTGCATGGGCTAGAGAGAAACGACATATAATAAGGTACTGATATATTTTATGATACTTCTAATCAAGGGTCTTGAATTTTTTGAGTATTGTTATAATAATATATTTTTTTGTAAAGTTGTGATAAAAATTAGTAGCGCATTTTTATAAGCCCATCTTAGATCGGAGGTATTATGGTATACTGTTGTCGTCTACACTTCAGACAGTAACTCAAAAATGCTTTCACCAATTTCCTGAAAACTTATGTAAATTGTTTATAACTATTGATGTAAGCTCCCTTTTGATTATTTATTGATTTCAGATTTTAAGTTTTAGATTTATGCGACTTTATTCATAAAAAGGGGGAATTTCCAGTTTTCATTTATTGAAGCAACTATTTTTATATGCCTATTACAGGCGTATCATGCGCTCTTGGCATAGCTGTCATTTAACTTGGTAAAAAATACAGGATGGTCCAACATCAGTGATACATGTATGTGTGCATGATGAGCTAACATGTAGTTTGCTAGAGCATGGTATAAAGTTTTTAACTAATATTTAGATTCTATGCTTGTAAAGATCTACAAATAAATGTAACATGTACATGATTAGAATTTCATATACAAATAATCTGTCTCTAACCAATATAAATATGAATATTTAAAGGATGTGGTGTCTGGCAGTTTGGAAGGAGGGTCAGAAAGAAGTGGAAGATGTTCTTCCATACAGCTGGGTGCAAAATAGTGAGGTGAAATGGCCACCAGGAGTAAATGCCAACAAGCATATCGAAGCTATGACAAAACCAGCAAATAGCTGGAGACGTTTTGAGCTGGTGAAAGTGAAATGTAAATCTGGTATGTATTACAAACATGTATCTTTATATTTATAGTTTATGTACCAGATAAAGTGTTACATGATAATTTTATGATTGTGCAGATCTAGAATTTACATATAATTGAATATATTGCTCAGCATGTACATTTTGATTGAATCAGCTGGCGATATATATTGTACTAGATTTGTAGTTATATTGGTCTCTTAACAACCTATAGCTACATGTATAAAACTTTTTGCATTCTCTCAACCTAAGCTGGAATATACAATACAATATAGAGCAAAAGAGTTCCTTTCATTTCCAAATGAATATTAAAATAAGTGTTTGAAAAATGAAATATATTTCATCACACAGAATCTTCACCTTTTCTGACACTAGCTCTGGAGCGTTTGATTATATTTTAAATGTGTATTGGTCATAGTTTCAACATGGCTTATCAATGAAAGTAAACTTAACATTATTTCGTCCTGAAAATGCATGTAATATTTTCCACTGGACATTTGACATTAAAGAACCAAAGGTTTCTATACCTTCCCTTTTCGTGAAAAAAATTGCTACTGAACGTTTACAGAATGTACGCAAAGGACCAGTATTCATAAATCTATGTATTGTTATTGTATTGTAAAAGTATAGTAATGAATTACAATCTCCAATTTATTCTATCACATTTTTCTTTATTCAAGCAAAAAGAAGGTTGCTACAGCAAGCTACTAAGAAGACCAGCATCTTTGCACCAACACTAATAATTGTCGCAAACAGACCTTGTTCATGAAAGCTCAAGAATTTAGCACTCTAACAGGCTGCTCTGTAGATTGTGGACAACGAACTACAGAAGTCGTTTGTACTTAGCACAGATGACATGTACGCATCATACAAACTAAGTGGTCTAAAACCAAATACAATTGACAAACAACACCATTTTGGGCTGAACCCAGTGATGCCATCACCTATCAAAAGACAGCCAGCCAAATTGCATTCTTCCTTGGGGACTTAAGCAACTTCCGGTGTTATGGCTACATTATTGTACAGCCATATTTGAAGAAATTCAACCCGATTAGACCAAATTACATCTTCCACCTTGTTTAACTAAATCTTTTTATTATGAAATTTAATTTGGAGACATTCCCATATTACTCTCTCTCATTTTTATTGGGTTTGGAGGAATTGTGTCAACTATGTAAGCATACCATGGTAAATGATTTTCACAATAAAATAAATACTCTTTATTTATTAAAACATATTATACTTATACCCGTTTAGTGAGGTCTAAAATTATTTTACAGGTTGATTCTAAACATTTCATGTCATTAGGAACTGCAAGAACACCAGAAGAAACAAAGGGAACTATCAATAGAATCTATTTGAGATCCAGCTAGAGTGAATAGAAAGCGTAAAGAAAACAGAAAGGTGTATAAGAGGACGAAAATGTGTTTTGGGGGATTTAATAGATCCTCATAGGTTTGTTTATGATACATTAAAGTAAATTTAAGTACAGTATGGAGTATTATGATTAATGCAGACTTTTTTGTGAGGTTTTGAGGCTTTAAGTACGCTTTAACACTTCACTCGAAGGGGATTTTAATGTTGGAAATTTAAATATTATGACTAAACTTAAATACTGGAAGTAAAGTTAAGCATCTCAGACAATTGAATAGTAGTGAAAACTTTGAATTTTGAGAAGGTCTCCTTATTCTGTATAGTAGTGGTATATTTTACATCGATGTAACATCAACTCGTCTAATTATATGTCCGAAGCACAGGGACTTTTATGGTATTCATTAGCATAATAGTCGTGGAAGATGTCAACATCCAGATTACCCCTCTTCCAGCAAAGCCAATGCTGACCGAGGATCATTACTTTTTTTTTATGTGCAAGCGCTAATGGCTGCAATTCCCGTAGCAACAGGTACAAATCTTAAAAGCAATGTTCATATGTTTCTCCGTTTCCTCATAGTCAATCTGAAATTAGGACACCAAAACTTGATACCTAGATGAAAAAGGAGGGATGAAGGGACATGTTGATAATATTAACACCTATTTCTAAAACTTTTTTTTTTTCCTATTGAAAAGAGTAAACAAATATTATCACTTTTATATAAGTTTATCTGCCTTGGCCAGGGTAAGGGGGAAACCATTTGATTCTGAAAAAGGGATTGGGGATAAGAATGGTCAAAATATTTATAATCCCCAAGGGTGACTGGGGAAACGAAATATGGTCACTACATGTCTTCTTCCGACCGGCAGTAAAACCCTTGCCAAAGTGGGGCGTCCGTTTGGCTGTGCGGGATGTATCAAGTACGCAGCCACGTCCGGTCAGAATGAGGACGTTAAATTAGAGAGAGTGCCACGCTCTCTGCACGTTAAGAACCCTTGCAACAACTCTTGGAGTGGTCCGTAGGTGGCCTTTTGCAAGGCAAAATTTCTGTCCCCATCCAATTTTCCAGTGGTAGTTTAAATTTCCCCGACCTTCATCCCGGACGACCTCTATTACAGGACCTACCTATTGTATTTATTGTTAATTTGTTCTCGTCCTGAACATGCATGAAATATTTGCCACTGGACGTTAAGCAACCAACAATCAATAATCAATCAATCAAAATATTTATCATGTTTATATCCACACTAGCTTAGGACAGAATACTTATTTTTAAGCTAAACAAGGTTACAATATTTATTTTCTGCTTAAAAATACACTTAAAACAAACTAGGTTTATTAAAACTTGAAGACCAGGAAAATAAAAAAAAAAATGGAATCGGACCAGACGAAATAAAGGCAACAGTAGTACACCGCTTTTCGAAAAGCGGAAGTAATCCTGTAATTTATTATTATCTGACAAGTACAAATTATATAATGAGATTTCGTTATGAAAGAAGGGTTCTAAAGCTGCTGCGAGAAATTATTGTATGCAGGCTGGTCTTTCTCATGTTTCTATGGGATCAGCCGGGTTACGAAAAATCTCATTAAGTTTTAATATTATGGCCCCATCAACAAAGGGAATGCAAAAATCAGCTATTAAAGGTGCGGAAAATATTGCTGAGTCAAACAAAGATGATATGCGTAAGATCCGACAAGAAATAAAATACGCGGCCAACCAGAAAATGAAATTGATATTGAGGGTGATGCGTTACAATAATCAAATCTACAGTTGAGTTAACAAGACTCCTTCTCAACCTGCAACCAAAAGTTGTTATGTTCTGACAAAAAGTTAGTGGCCAACTTGAAAACAAAAAACAAGCTATGCAGTCACGGGAAAGATCACAGTAATGAAAAAATCAGTACAAAAAACTGCCAATGTAGACAAATTCAAAAATGGTTCAAAACATACGAAATGCGGGAGACAGTGCAAAAGAAGGTCTAAAAACAGTGTACTCTGCAGGGTTAGAGATCAGACACTTAACAACTGACTCAGATACCAGTGCATATAAGGCAGTGGACGACATAGCAAAAAAAATGATTTCTACGCAACATTTAATAGATACCAGACATTTCTCTGAAAACCAAAGATGGCACATTAACAAAATGACAGTAAATTGAAATAAATGCCTGCCCTGTTTAAAGGAGAGAGAGATAACATAGATTTGCCACAGATTTAAGTCAAAGATGTCATGCAGAGTATGAATCTGCACTTTCAAAATGCAATGGAGATGTATTCCAATTCAAGAGTCCCATGCGGCGGACGCAATAGGTTTGTGCAACCAGGGAAACCACTTTTAATGTAAAGCAAATTCATTTGTTTGCATGTGACATCTTAACAACAATAGAGTCCCATGCAGTGGACGCAATAGGTTTGTGCAACCAGGGAAACCACTTTTTATGCAAAGCAAATTCATTTGTTTGCAAGTGACAGCTTAACAATTTGATTGAGAGAAGTAGGTATCTTTCAAGCTACTTTAAACTTAAATTGTCTATAAAAGAAGAAAAAAACAAGGTTAAAAATTGTGCTAATTTCTGACTTGGTCCCAAAGAACTTGATAAACAAAACTTTAAAAAATAAAACCATAAGAAGGTCCTTACCTAACAGAGTAAAAACTTTCATGGAAGGGCAAACAGTGCTGTACATGCAGCAAACCATGGCCCTGGTGAATCTAGCATGGCTCTGTGGGTCTCAGTTGACTCTCCAATTTCAGATGATAGTAAGGTCCACAAGTCCCTGTAACAAGATATTTATGAAAAAAATAAAGAATGTCAGAAATCATTCAAACGCAAAGCAAAAAGAAAACAAACAACTGATGCAAACTTTCAGTTATATTCAAAACGCCAAGAAGAAGTCAAATATAGGAAAGGTATGTTTCTTCGTGAAAACAAAAAAGTCTGTGGTAAAGAAGTAAAGGCCACCAAAGTTGTTGCATGGTCCAAAAGTAATTTTCATTGTTTATTTAAAGCAAACAGTATGGTTTGTGTCTTTTCGAGCAATATCCTGCAGAAAACCAGCCATTTCGCATCACGTTTGTGATGTGGGGCGGCTCATGAACCATATGATTTTCGTGCATGCATTTCTTATTATGACATAAGAGGCTGACCTCAAGCTGCCGGCTGAATTCATTTAATTTAGGCATTTTATCACGTAAAATTTCATTATTTCATTATATATCATGTAAGCAAGCCTATGAGTTTTTTCAATGAACTGTTGGTTATCAGGCCAAGTAACCCTTTTACGGCAATAACAAGTATCGGTGCAATTGTGTCCGCAAGGTAAAATTGTATAAATAATTGTATTAGATGTTACTTTAAATCGGTCATATTCTTTATTGATAATTCTACTATATTTTACAATGAATTCAACCAATTTTTATAGATAAAGAGTAGTAGATGTGACCTTGGACAAACCACAGCTTTATTGAGCATTTTACAACATTTTAAAGTAAATTTGACCTCTTTTCTGATAATTGTATTAGATATTACCTTAAATCGGTCATTTTTTTAAGATGACTTTATCAGATGTAACCTTAAATCGTTCATTTTCTCTATGGATAATTGTTTTACAAAATTCAACAATTTTTTAAGATAATGGT